TCAAGCTTCCTCAAAAGGTCTTCAAGGCAAATGCTCTGTCTTCCCCTGTTTTAGGGCTGACTGCATGTTGATAGGTTTGTCTTGCCCTATGTAAGCTGGTTATTTGGCAAATCAAGATGTAAATAAGGAACAAAGGAAAAAGAGGTAGGACCGGTCACTCTGAAAACTGGCACTGTTTTTAACTTTACTGAGAGACTTAAATGGTGATTCATTTCAGCAAGTTCTCTCAGGGCATCTAAAATATTATTGGGTTTAGGCAATTTAAGGAATGCATATATTACTGCAAGTGAAGCAAACCTGTCTGGTGCTTTTCTAGGAGGAGCTTCTTGGGGTGCCTAGAATTGTCTGTTGGGATTTGATCCCCGATAGCAATTTGGGTTTGTTCACCCAGACAAAGAGTGCTGAGGTCCTGGAAAGTGAGTGTTTTCTTTCTTTTCACCTTGAGCCCACAGACCCATCCTTAGAGTGAACTGGCCAAGCATGTTTATCTCACCACCGTGAGCTCTGAATCCAGCAGGCAGAAAAGCAATCCATTAGCAAGCTAACAACAGGGAGTTAATTTGCCATCAAAATGACTCGTCCAAATTATTTTTTTTGTACCCAGCAATTTATAGTAAATGGGCCTTTCTTTTTTCATTAGAGAAATGATTGCTGTTTTTCTTTTCCTTGGCATTCCCAGAGAGCCATTCACATTTAAAGCTAATGTTGGAACAGCAGGTTTCTACTGAAAATATTTACCTTTTCTCTGTTGGCAACTTGTCAATGTTGGAGAAAATAGATGCTCCATTAAAATCTAAATACATGATGCTTGCTTTCTCACATATCCATCCGTGTTTTTCCAAAACGAAAAGCATTGTAAGAGGTGTTGGGAAATCGTTCTAGTCTTATGTTTTTACATATTTTTGGATGTCTTCTGGCATTCTGTTCTTATTTAAAATAGGCATTTCACCTCTTATAACTTACATGAGTAGTCCTAAAATAGCAGGTTCAGTTTTCACCGCTAGAATATCAGAAGAGGTTTTGGCTGCCTATGTGGCCAGCTAGTGTCCCCTAGAAAGTACATTAATTGCTAAATGTAAAAATCCAGAAAGAAAACTACTTTTGTTTATCCAGCAGCACTAGAGACCAGAGTATATAGTCTGTTTTCCATTACTATAGTAAAATAGCTGAGGTTGGACAACTTATAAAGCAAAGAGGCTTCTTTAGCTTGAAGTTTCACAGCCTTATAGTCCCGACATCACAGTGCTCACTTGGGCCACCCTTTCCCAAGCGGCATCCTGACAGATAGGACCATGGCAAGAGCATCGCTAGAGGGAGAGATCACACAGTGAAGGAAGAAGCCAGAGAGCGACAGGGACCAGCCTTGCTTCTTCATAACAACCCTCTCGCGGGAACTAACCAGGGTCCCACAAGAACTACCTTGTCCCCTCCTAGCTGCAGCACAGCACCCCCAATGGCCTAACCGCTCCCAGTAGGCTCCCTCTTTTTTTTTGGTACCAGGAATTGAACTCAGGGCCTTGCGCTTGCCAGGCAGGTGCAGTGCCGCTGAACTGCATTCCTGGACCTATGCACCCTCTGAAAAGCTCCATCATCTGCGAGTGTCACCTCACTGGGAACCCTGGGGTGGGGCACTCAAAGAGTATCTGAACCGTAGCTCAGAGACTTTGTTTACACATTCACTGACCTCACTGAGAGAGGTTGAGTTCACGGCCCATGGTCATGCGCATCCGAAATTCCTCCCAGGACTCTGCCCTGAGCTGCCTCGGTCCTGGCACACCATCAGCCCCCTGCATGGGCCCTTGGACGTTTGTGGTTGAGTGGGCTGGGTGCTAGGGCCCACCATCCTTGAAACAGACATGGAGACAGAAGTGTGGGACACAGAGCAGGGACAGCAGAAGGACAGTGCCTCATGGCCACCCTGACTCCTGCTCTCTACCCACAGCCCCACGAAAGACAAAAGACAATGAGCCAGTGTCACAGCCCATGAGGGCCGGGCCAGAGTGACTCTGTCCTGCCTGTAAAAGGCACCTTCCTGGGCTGGGGATTTAGCTCAGTGGCACTGCGCCTGCCTTGAAAGCTCAAGGTCCTGAGTTCGATCCCTGGTATGGGGGAGGGGGAATTTTAAAAAATTAATAAAAGGAACCTTCCCATTGGTGCCAACAAAACCCAGAGAAGATTTGTCTCCCTTGATCTTCAAAGGGAAATAAGCTCCTGTTAGTAAAATGAAGAACCTCTGTGGCAGTGGTTACAGCTCAGGGGTAGAGCACATGCACAACACAGATGAGACCCTGGGTTCAGTATTCAGCAGAGAGAGGGACAGGGAGAGGGAATCTGCTTATTGAGAGATTCTGTAAAACAAAAAGATAAGATGAGAAAAGTGAGGTTTTTATCGCATATATGGCCAGCAAAGGATTAATTCCAAGTACAAGCAAAATGAAACAGTATATTACATAAACATGCATCCAGTTGTATGAAGAGGATCATTTCTTAGAGGCCAGGAATGAATAATCCAGATCCCGAGCAGTTTCCTCTGAGAGGCAAGGGATAAAAAGAAAGACACTAGAGGACCCCAGCGGGTCCCATTCTTTTCTTGCACCCAGTAGGGGTTCCATGGGGCCCGTTGTTTTATTCAACTTTATGACTAACATGTCTATCTTAGGTAAGGGGGAACTAGTCATTGTCACTGCATCTATTTTTACAAATGGGGAAACTGAGGTTTGGTGAAACTGAGCTAGCAGCTTCCTGCATGCTTGGCAGTGAACCTGGATCTTCCCTTTTAGTTTGACATGGTGCCATGAGACAGAAAGTCATCATTGCAGTATGCAGAAAATGGAGGCCTGCTGAGCTGAAAGACCGGCCAAGGTCACTTCCTGGTCACAGCTGGTGGCCGTGGCAGGGCTTGACCCGTGGCATGCATGTCAATGGAGAGAACTCTGCTCTGTGGGCCTCACCAGGTGCAGGTGACAAGATGTCTAAACCCCTTGCTGTGCGGTCAGAGGTGCTTGGTCAGTGGTGACTTCCCTGGGCTGTCCTGCAACTGGGCAGCTTGGGTAATGAAGAGAGGAACTAGATGGAGAGTCAGAAGAGAAGACAGACGGTGCTGAGGCTTTCAATTTATTCCCACTGCTCATCTTTAAAGCCATAAAACTATAAGAGGAGGCTCTTCCCATGACCTCAGCCCCCACTGCCGTGCCCACTTGGCTGCCACAACTACGTGGCTCTGGGCGTGTTGTTGAGCCCCTGATATTAATTGTGAGCACAGTTCCCAGGCTGTCAGAGTAGGAGTTTCCAGTTAAGCATGGTGTCCCCACTTAAGTGTACAGCCAAGAGAGGGCCACTCCTCCCAGTCTCTTTCTGCTTGAGTCCTAGCCTGTCTCTTTGAACCCCAGGGAAAGTCACTGTAGTTGTCCCTTAGAATTTAGGAAAGATTGATCCTGGCCCCCCGCAGATGCAAGATCTGTGGATGCTCAAGCCCCTTGTGTAAAATGGCAGTGTTTGCCTGTAAGCTCTACACATCCTCCTGTGTACTTTGAATCATCGCTGGTGCTTTACAATACCTAACACAACGCAGATGCTGTGTGAATAGTTGTTCCACTGTATTGTTCAGGGAATAATGACAAGCAGAAAAATCAGTGCCCGTTCAGTAGCTCTATCACTTTTTTTTTTCAACATTTTTGATGCATGGTAGGTTGAGTCCTCAGATGCTAAACCCATGCACATGGAGAACCAACTATATTTTGTTTGTTAAGGTCAGTTGTGTTCCAAGTTTCTGTTTCTGAGAACCCTTTCCATGTTGCTGTAGATTGTGGGATATGAGTAGGTCCGGTAGACGTGGGGCAGAGGGACCCATGCGTGCTGAGGAGCCCAGAGAGGGGGTGCCTGGGTCTGAGGGCGAGGGGAGGGATACTGCAACTGTTAATAACCACGTCTTGAAGTCTTAATGGCATAGGGAAGTGTTCCATATAAAGTTCAGTTGAAAAAAAAATGTCTGGAAAGAAAGTGTATGCTGCAGGCCGAGAAAACTATTAGGAGAAAGTAACCAAAATGTTATCCTTTGTTATTTCTCCAATTCCCAAACTTTCATCAAAGAGCGGATATTATTCTTGCAATCAGCAAACGTCCCCTTTTCCATTCTGTCTTAAGTAGCTCTGAGCTGAAGAATTTGTTTAGACCAGAAGCATGGCCATTGCACACGCAGAGCTGAGTCCAGGTAGGAGCACAGGGGCCTCTGAGAGGCGTGGCAAGGTCTTCCGAGGCTCGCAGGGGTCTGACTTGAGGTACTGGCTCTCATTACCGCTGCTTCCCAGGTCTGTGCAGCCACCCGCAGCTTCCTGCTCTGGGTGAGGCGTGTTGGGAGGGGCGCATCGACCAGGAGGTCCCTGGCCCCACCACAGGTGCTGGGAGGGGTTTGTGGGACCCACTCACCCCTCTCGCTGAGGAAGTTGGGTCTGGCCTGGGAACGGGACTGAGCCGAGTCCAGCCTGCACCCCCTCCTCCTCTCTGTGGGCTAGGGCCTGGGCTCCTGTGTTCCAGTTAAAGTTCATTGTGCGGTTCATCCCGAATGAGACGTAGGATGGACTCAGACAGGAAAGAGAAATACACAAAGAGGACGAACAGCTGGGCGAGTTGAAAAAGACTCTGCAGTTCTAGCAGAGCAATGTGCACTTTTAGGTAGCAGCGTGGCGTCGTGGTACTGAGGAAAACCTTTCGAGTCCTCTCTTCCTGAGCATTGCAATTGGTTTTCTTCTGCTGCCACTGCACAGCAGGAGCACTTCACCTTGTGGCCTGCTGGGTTATTCTCATCCTTTCACATCAGCCAGCCCAGAGAGAAGGAGCGAACTTTCCCGAAACAACGTGGCTTCCCTCTGGGGAGCCTGGTGGTGCTGGGTACAGATCTACGCTGTGTGGGGCTCCCAGCCTTGCCGTCCCAGGCCCAGCGTGGCCCCTGCTGTGTGCTCAGAACCCCAGGCGCTGGTGACAAGTTTCCCTTGTGCTTTCAGGCATCCGCATGCTGGACGGCGATGTGACAGATGTGGTTGAAGCCAAGTCCCTGGGCATCCGACCCAACTACATCGACATTTACAGTGCCAGCTGGGGACCAGATGATGACGGGAGGACAGTGGACGGGCCCGGCCGCCTGGCTAAACAGGCTTTCGAGTATGGCATTAAAAAGGTGTGAGTAACACAGGGTACAAGGGTGCTCATGGGCTGAGGAAGACAGGGAACGTTTTTAACAGCTAAATATCAGAGCAGCACCAGCCGCAGCCCTGAGACAGGACTGGCAGAGAAGTGCTGCCGTGTTGGAGCCCGACTGAGAGAGAGGTCGCTTAAGGCTCAGTCCGGTGGAAGGTGGCCCCTGTTCCAGAGAGAGCCAACCTGGCCTTCGCTTGCCGAGCCCTCTCTGCCTTGGGGTCCACCCGTCCCTCCTGGCTGAGGGACGGACGTACAGGTGGGTGGGAGTCCTATCACCGTGTGGCTAATCCTGCCCCTACTGCAGCAAGAAGCCATGGTCTGGACTTCCCACCACCAGAGCACAGCCCAACAGAGTTGGAATTTCTGCGTAAGCCTCACCAGGGACGAGGCAGAGGGCACATCCAAGAGGCTGGCTCTCCACTGAGCTGGGGAGGCCCAGGCACCAGCCTCTGTGCTCATCCATCCAGAGCTTCATGGGTCAGGCAGGCGGGGCCTGGGGAGAAGGTGCCTGGAGATGAAGCAGGGCTTACGGGCAGGTGAGGTGGCGAGGCAGCCTGACTTCTACGTGAGGACAGCTTCTTGGAGCAAGCAGATGGAGCTGTGGTTGGCCTCCAGGAGGTGCTGGGTGGCCTAGGAAAGCCCCAGAGTGCGAAGTGTGGCTGATGAGTGCCGGTGGGGGTGCAGGGTTCCGGCCGGGAGTTTAGGCATCTCTGACTTCTGTGGGCACAGGAGAGGAAAGGGATGGAGGTGCCAAGCCCTTTTTGTCATTTATATAATTTTAAGATTTTTACATTCCTATGGTATTGTAACCCATGCATAGTGACTAAAATATGGTTAATAAGTAGTAAGCAAATCAGATAGTACCAGAAAGTTATACTGGTAGCAGCCTGTCTTTGTCACCTTCTGCTGTCACCAAGTTCTTCCCCACAGAGGAGCAACCTTTTTTTTTGAACTCTGGTCATAATTTCCTCTTTGTGAGCAATGTTATTTGACTGCTTTTCTGGGTGCATTGAGTCTATTTACCATCTGTTACTTTCTTCTCGAGGGATCAAGTGTTTTGCTCTCAGCAGGCCCCTGGCCTTGGTGCCCTCTCTCCCACTGTATGGAGTCTCCCAAGTTGTCCCCTTACCTCCACCCCCTTGTCTCCTGAGACTTCCGGGGCTTGGGCCCACTCCCTGCCTCCACCTCCTGCCAGGCACAGCCGGGCTGCACCTCCTCTGGTGCATGGATGGATGGATGCTGCTCCCAAGTTGAGAGAAAGTTTCCTCCTCCCCGAGGTCTCCTCCTAAATGCGCAGGGTGTGAATGGCTCAGAAACTACTGGCTGGAAGCAGGACATCCGTGCTTCTATTCCTGGGAGCTCAGGGCTTACTCTGTGTAAGGAGAAAAGGAAAGGAAGGAGACAGTGTGACCTGCCTCTTTTGTCTCCTCGGCTTCCAGAGAACACAAAGGTGGCTTCCGTAGGCTGCTGAGCACCTGAGCGGGGCCGTTTGCTGGCACATGCAGACCTGGTCGAGTCAGCCACTGCCCGCGAGGAGCCGCTGAATGCTTAAATCACATCTTTCCATGACTCAACTCCCACTTGATCACTCGGATCTCAGACTTGATGACAAGTGAAACATCCTAAAAATCAAGCCGAATTTGGGCTTCAGAGAGGGTGACTTGAGTTAGAGATCGTGTTTTCTGCATGAAATGTATTGCTCTGAATGGTGTTAATGCTGAACATCTGGCCTTTTTGTGAAATGATTTCTAAAGACCCAGTCTCTTAGGAAGAGGCCCCCTGTGTCTGGGCGAGGTAGTGATTGTTTTCAAGGGATTGTTTGAATTGTTCCCTTAGTTTTGTGTAGATGGACCCTGGGCCAGACTTTGAAAAGCTAGAGCCGCGGAGAGGGGATCTTTGCAATCTGAATTCTGAGCAGCAGTGGCTTTATCAACCTGTCAGGGGGAACCGGGACTCGCAGAGGGGACCATGTGGTTTCCCCCTTGGTCTTGTCATGCTTTCTTAAAATACTGAGGTCATTTCATCTTTTTTCAGTTGTTCTGAAATAAAATATGTCATATAGGGACCCTTAAATCGCAGCTGTCTAAAGCTGTCACGGAAAATCTTCCTAGAAATTTGATGATCTCAAACCAAACCACATTTCCCCATCTGTTTTTCCTCGTGCCACCCCATTTGTCACCTACGGTCTTTTTTCTGTAAAAGCTGACTTCATCTTTAGGAGATGATGTCGTCGTTGGGCATTAGGAGACTTTAGAAGCCATAATTTGCCACAGGGATCTGGTTAATGTTGGTCCTTCTGAAGCCTCACTCCTCACAGGGCTTTGTCGTTCCCCAGGGGAGATTAAACACCACTGTGGCTAAAAACGCTGGCCTTGTCCAGAGCCTGCCATCGGCAGCCCTCGGGACTGATGCTTCTGAGCTTGTGCACAAAGTCACTCCCCAGGAAGGACACCAGCTACGCTTTGATGTGGTTGAGATTATATTTTACTGAATAGAAATGGAAGTTCATGGCTAGGCTTGAAACATCCCCTTTATTTAGCTTCTATTCCGTGGCTTTTCTGTGAAGCCACTGGAAGATCTGTAGAGTGAATGTAAACTCCTCAGAGACAGCTAAACCCCGCTCTGTATCTCAGATCTGGGTGTCTCCTCTCCCTCCATCCACGGTCTCTCCCAGAAAACCACTTTAAGAAGGTAGAAACTGTTGACTCCGTGAGCTTTGTGAGAAGGGATTGGCCTACCAGTCAGTATGTGGTGCCTGGTAGGAAGCCCCAAATCAGCAGGAGCTCCTTAGGTGGAACTGCAGCCCACCTGCCACAGCTCAGATCTGGTGTGTCCTCCGGTGGCCTTTGTGTGAAACCCTTGGGCCCCAGCTTGTGCTACTGGGAGGTGACGGAACCCAGTGAAGATCTTCTAATCATTAGAGGTATTCCTCCAAAGGAGACGGTGGAACCCACCTGCCCCCTTCGCCCCTCTTTCTTTCATTCCTGGCCACGAGATGAATACGCTTTCTCGCTTCAAGCCCAGAGCAATGAGGCCAATCAGTGATGGACTGAATCCTCCGGCACTGGGAGCCAAAGTAATCCTCTTCTCTTTACAAGTTGATTATCACAAGTGTTTGTTATCGTAACAGAGAGGGGACTGAGACAGCACCCCAGACCTGCTAGGTCCAGATCTGCATTTTAACGGATCCCCGGGTGACTCCGCTGCATGCGTGTTCGAGTTTGGGGAGCACTGTTTTAAAGCATCCGGGTTGGTGCTCCATTTTGCAAAGTGGCAACATTTTATAAAGGATTTTGAATGGGGTGGGAAGTTCAGAGTGGCAGCATCTTAGGAAGAATTCTTAAATGGAATAAAGATGGGCTCCTTTGGGTTAAATACCTTTTATTTGGATTTTAGTTGCTTTAAACTAGCTTCTGGTTAATCTTCTCCAGCAAGTAATTGTAGTCCTGGTTTGCTTAGTGGCTGTTCTGAGAAATGTGTCAGTGTATCCTTAGGCAGTTTCATCAGTGTGTGAACGTGACAGAGAGTACTGACACAGACCTGGATGGTACAGCCATGGTCTTAACTGTGGTCCAGCACTGACTGAAACATCCTTACGTGGCACATAACTGTAACTGTACGCACACACCTGTTTCCTTGGCATTTTGTACCTTTCCTCCAGAAGTTAACTCTTGGTAAAGCTGAATAACCTTTTTGGTGAGCTCCTGGCCAGTCAGACACGCCCACCTGAGAGATGCAGAAAGCAGAGTGAATGAGGCAGCTGGAAGCAGCAGGCTGAGCACCAGGATCCTCCCCGTGGGCTCTACTGAGCCTCAGGTTGGAACCAGAGTCCCCTTGGTCTATAGCAGAGGTGAATCTTGCAGAGCTTTCAGTGGTAAGAAGCAGCCTGCTGTGGCACGCTGTTCACCACTACTGTCTGTAGAGTGGACTGGCGTGGGGCTGGTGGAGCAGGTGGGTCCCCTCAGCCATGGGGAGCTTGAATTCTAAGGGTGAGTGTGTACATGCAGTCGGCAGCTGGGCTTCAAGTCCACTTGACAGAGGTTGCAGGCTTAGGTTGAAGAGTATCGCTGAATTGACCCATTGTTGGGATTGAGTATCCGCTTCCTCCCATGTGTTCGGAAGGGAGGGTCCTCAGTACCGATGCGGATGCTGGAAGCCTGATGGGTCCGATTTCACCTGGAGATGGATGCTGGCACCACGCTCTCAGGCTAGCTGCACGCCACCTGCAGGTCCAGCCAATTGGACTGCATTGGTCACTCTGCTTTATTAGCTAATCATTGGCTAGTGTTTGTGGCTGGAATGACTCTCGGTTTGGTCCCTGAGCGTGGGACAGAATGGAGCCACAGGAACCTGCACTGACCCGCCTTTCTTTCACAGGCTTTTCTCATGCATATGTTCTCAACAGTGAAAACCTCCATACATGAGGGAAGCCACCATCAGCGCTGGTGTTAATAGTCTGACCTTCCCAAAGCTGACCCACGGTGGGAACCCCCAGGAATGCTAGTAGGACCCTCACAAGCAGCCGCCAGCATACTGGGCCATTGCCTTGTTTACCTATCAGTCTTCACCCAGAATTCACGGTCTGATCCTTCTTTGAAAAATTGCCTTGTTCTCCAAGAAAAACATTTCTTTAGCTATGTTTTTCAGGAAAATGCCTTCTCTTCCCCGTAAAACCAGCTCCTCCAGCCCAGAAAAATCAAAATTATAAACTCTGCCATCACCCATAATCTCAGTGTTACTTGTAGCCCTCGCACTGCCTTTGTTCCTCTGCTACTCTGATGGAAATTAGAGGCACAGCTCTGAAATGGAGCAGCTTGGGTCAGGGTCCTGGATTTTCCTCTAAAGAACAGAGGGGGTCTTTCTAGTATTTCTGCGCCTGCATAGTCCTGGAATTCTGTAGTTTTAAGGCTCTTGCCCCAGGCAAAATCATTCCATTAAAGTCAAAACAGAGCCCTGTGGGTGGCTTTGAGAGGGTCTCAGTGCATCCTTCTTATACCCTCGGGAGGGACATTCAAGGTGATTCTGCAGCTGCATGGGAGACCTGACCCACGGGGCTCTGGCTGCAGTGGCTGATGTCCTGTTTTGCTTCCATCTAGGGCCGGCAGGGCCTGGGCTCCATTTTCGTCTGGGCCTCTGGGAATGGTGGGAGAGAAGGGGACTATTGCTCCTGTGATGGCTACACCAACAGCATCTACACCATCTCCGTGAGCAGCACCACCGAGAATGGCTACAAGCCCTGGTACCTGGAGGAGTGCTCCTCCACCCTGGCCACCACCTACAGCAGCGGGGCCTTCTATGAACGGAAAATTGTGAGTCCCGGCATTCTGCAGGGTTGATTCCTCTGGGGAGGAATCCTGCTCCCTACGATGAGTGAGGTCACGATCAGATTGTATTGGATCACAGCCCCCAGCCTGTGCCTTCAGGGAGCCATGCGAGCCTCAAGGTCAGCCCCAGTGCCTTGGCAGCCTGCCTCAGACCCTGCCTTGTTCATCTGTGCCCAGAAATACCAACCAAAACCTTCTCTGGCTTGAGCCATCTAAAAATAGCATTTAAGAATGGGGTTCATTCTCGACACGTCTCCTTTTAGCTCTCTGAAAGTCTGTGGTCACTTCACTTGGAATTCAATTGACCAGTCCAGTTTTGACTTGGAAAATAGAGTAAGAGATAGTCCTGGCTTTATACTCAAACATTCGGGAAATCCAGCTGTTTTTCTAGCCTTCCATTGCTACCAAAGAAATATATCCCGGATGCTATGCAGTCTAGCTTTGATTTTGGTCTGTTCTACTCACTGAAGTGAATTTATCTTTTACTCTGTGTGTGTGTGTGCATGTGTGTGTATGAGCGAGCATGTGGCGGGGGGTTGTGCTGGGGATGGAACCCAGGGCCTTGTGCATACCAGGCAGGCACTGCACTTTGGAGCTACATCTCCAGCCCCTGAATAATTTTTAAATAGTATCTATTTTAAGTATATGGGTGGAGTTTGTGCATCTTCTTTCCCTACATATTTTCCTACTAAAGTAAAAGGAGAAGGAGAGTTTCCACTCCAGATTAATGCCGAATTCAAATGCATAGTCCTTAAGTGAAGTTTGTAGATGTTGAAAAAATGAGATTGTGGAGCTGGCCAGACATGGTTTAATTTTAAAGCTCACTAGCATCTTTCTACTTTTCCTGCTGCTTAGCCACATCTTTAGAAATTATTATTTCATTTTTATATTTTTCTGGGGGAGCACACAAGCTTCCCGTTCTCTGCTTTGCTCAGCATCAGCAAAAGTTCAGCCTGGCAGGGCCGGGCCTGGCTTGTTACGGTGTTCATTTAAGATGTTACTTTCCATTTCTGTGGGTGCCCTTGGCCCTGGATGGGCGGCTGAGTTCCTGAACCACGTCCTTTTCATGTAGGTATCTAGCGCGTTTGAGCATGGTCTTGCTGGGGTCCTGTTAAACACACGCTTGGGCCAAAATTCTACACAGGCCAACTGGCCAAATGGGGACAGGGCGAGGGTCACACTGGACATCTCGCACCGAGGGCTGCATGCTGGGAGGATGCGTCACTTGACCCTGAAGCAGGGCTTGTGGCTATGTTTGCGTGTTTAATCACGCCTGCATGTGGGTGTTCATAGGGGTGTGTGTGTGTGCACATGCCTGACCTACAAATGCTTCAGTTCCCTTTTGTAAAAATTCTCGGAGCAATAATCTGTGGGTAGGAAGGATGTCATAAGAAAGGGGTGAGAAAGAAAACACCCCGTTCCAGTAGCTGCCTTTGAGCTCCGCTCTGAACATACGAATAGCATTGCTCATCTGCTCCATGGATCCCTGTTGTGCTTCAAGTCCTTTTAGACATTCTGAAGGGCCACAGCCACTACTGCGGACAGTCCACCTGGCAGAGTGGCAGTCAGAGTACCGCCCGTCCCTCCCAGTCCAGTGGATGCCAAATAGTGTCCTCCAGGAGCGAGGGATGCCTTGTGTACAAACAGTATTTTTGCTCAAAGAAGTAAAACCTAAAAGCAAGCATTTGGCCAGAAGACGAAGGTTTGTTGATTCCCTGAATTTGAGCCGTGTTCCAGCCAGGGTGCATGCACTCAGGCGACGCTCTGTGGCTGGGTTCAGTCGCCTTTCCTGAGGAAGCCCCTCTGCTCAGCCTCTTGAACCCCTCCTCTGAGGCTGAAGAGCCAGCCGTGGGCATCGTGTACTCTTGGAGGCTCAGCTTCCTGCCCAGTCATCCTCAATTTCATACAAGTATGTGCAGGTGCCCAGCTGTGATCTGCTTGGAATCTGTATGAAGAGCAGATGGTCATGTCTGCTTTCATAGGACGAGGCTGAGGTCAGAGAAACTGCGTCCTCAGCTCTGTTCTCCAGCCCTCCATGTCTCAGTGCCTTAGCTCTGCTGAATAGGTGGGTGGAGGTGGTCTCTGCCGACATTCATGTCAAATCTTCCTGTGCATGTGCTACCCAGGCTAGTTCCCTGAGCAGGAAAGTGTCATCCCAGCCAAAACATGACCAGGAAAATGTGCTCTGTATGAAAGGATCTTGATGATTGTCCTTGGAGGAATTTATTCACAAGGGTTACAAAAATTGGCAGCAGAACCTTGATATATGTGTGTTGGTTTCCTGTTTTCTAAGGGACCTTAGCACCAGTTTAGCAGCTTAAAACAGCATAAATTGGTGTCTCAAGGTTCTGGGGTCAAAAGTCCAGCAGCCTTGCCTGGTCCCTGCTTTGAGTCTCATCAGGCTAAAAGTAAGGTACTGGCGGGCATGTTTCTGAGGCTCTGGGGGAGAATCCATTTCTTGCTCATTCAAATTGTGGGCAGAATTCATTTCCCTGTGCTTGTGGGACTGAGGTCCCCATTTTCTTGTAGGCTGCCGGCTGAGGGGCCTTCTCGTCTGTAGAGGCTACCGCATACCTTGGACTGTGGCTCCCCAGCTCTCTCTTCCAAGCCAGCAGTGATGGGCTGAGGTCTTTGTGTGCCTCCTCTCTCTGACAGGATTGGTCACCTTCCTCTTTCACTTCCAAGGGCCCTCTGAGTATGACAGGCCCATCCAGATAATCCAGAATAACATCCTGACCTCAGGGTTAGGGTTAGCAAGATTAAATCTCTCTGCAAAGTGGAGGGGCAGGAGATTACCTGGTCTGGGCAGGGGTGTATACCTGCCTGGCCCAGCTGATTGCACAGCTACGACTCCTCATTTCAGTTCCCTAGGGAGGCACAAATCAGGCTGAGTGAGGGTGAGATCCTGAGTCCATCCCACCCTGCCTGGAGTCAGCGCGTCAGGTTGGGGCAAGCAGAGCCTGCAGCTGGCAGGGCCAGCCTCTCCTTCCCAAAAAGAGCAGCCAGCCTCACGGTCTCCCTCAGCAGCCCCCGTTTCTGCAGATGGAGTTGGGGTGCCTTAGACATGTATGACAACTCTGAGCTTTTGGCTAAAGGCTGAAACGATACCTGGGCTACCTGGGCACCTCATGAGTAGCTATTTTCCGGCTGCATTACAGTCTGAGAGACACCAAGGTGGGTCCTGTCAGATGATCTTGCTGAAAGAACTCAGCATTAGCAGCAGAGGCCTGATGCCAGCAAACTTGAGCAGGTTCCTTGCTTTCATTTTGCCTTACCTGTGCTTTGCACACACTACTGCACATCAGGCAAAAGCTGAGCTAATCCGTCATCGAAACTCATGGCAGGTGGCGCCTGGCTCCTAGGCTCTGCCTGGCCTCATCTCCACCCAAGACTGGCCTTTTACTACAGCGGGTCTGCATTTTGCAGCAGGCAGCACCGCACTGCGCATCTGCCAGACGCTTTTCTTATCCTTGGCCCCCAGGGTCAGCTCTCCAGTGGGCATTGAGCAGCCTTAATCCCTCAAAAGAGCACTGGCCTGTCCTCCGGTCCTGCCTCACATGCCTCCCTTGTCACGCAGGTCACCACAGATTTGCGTCAGCGCTGCACCGATGGCCACACCGGGACCTCAGTCTCAGCCCCCATGGTGGCCGGCATCATCGCCTTGGCTCTAGAAGCGAAGTAAGTTTCCACTTTTCTTTCTTCTTTTCCTTTTCTTAAAAATGTTCATATTGTGACCAGATGCACATAACATACAACTCAACGTTTCAACCATTTTTAAGTGTGCAGCTCAGCAGCAGAGTGAAATGCGTCCATGCTGTCACGTAGCCATCACCACCACGCATTTCTGGAGCTCCCCCAGCTTCTCAGACTGAAACATGGTCCCCGTCGGACACCAAGCCCTTGTGTTAGTGCATTCAGGCTGTCCTAATGGTGGTGTGTGCAGAAGAAAGTTATTTTCTCGAAGTTCTGGAGTTTAGAGGTCCTAGGCCAAGATGTTGGCAGGGGTGGCGTCTTCCTGGCTTGCGGCCACCTTCTACATGTGACGCCATGTGGTCGTCCCTCTGTAAGAGTTTGTGTCCAGATTTCCTGTTCTCATAAGGACACCCACCATCGTGGATGAGGCCCACCCTGATAACCTCATTTATCTCAGTTACTGCTTTAAAAGCCTATTTCCAAATATAGTCACCTTCTGAGTACTGGGACCTGGGACTTCAGCATATGACACTATTTGGCCCAGGACACTCCCTCCTACCCCCTTACTCCAGCCTCTGATCACCACCATTATACCTTCTGTCTTTATGGTACTTTATTCAAGTGGGATTATATAGTAGAAAATCTGAAATCCAAAATGCTCCAGAATGCAGCATCTTTGAACATCAACATCATGTCCCAGAAATTCCAACTTTAGGAGTGCTTTGGATGTCAGAGTTTCATATTAGGGCTGCTTAACTCATAAAGACTACACATATGCTCCAAAATTTTTTAAAAATCCAGAACATTTCTGGTGCCAAGCATTTTAGCGAAGGGATGCTGCACCCATATTTGTCTCTCTGTGGCTTGCTTATTTCATTTAGCACAGTGTCTTCAAGGTTCATCTCTGTTAAGTCTCCTTTTTTTATGCCATGCCAATGGGTGCAGAGTGGTTCTTTCTTTTGCTCAGCCCACTGTCTCCTCCCTCTCTGTAGACCCCCAGGGCTGTATATGCCACAACTGTAAGCCTGTCTCCCATTCTGCCCCACCCACTACAATGGTGCTATAGGCCATGCTGTCCTCTCTTTAGGAATTTTCGTTTATAAATTCACAGTAAAATGGTTCATCATAAACCAAATAAAAATCCTGGGGTTGTTAGTTTGTAAATAGATCAGAAAGAGAGTTAAGTCCACTTGCCATTAATGGGGTCAAAAGCAGGTTTTAGTTTAGACATCAAAATTGGCACAGAACAACCCAGCTATTTGCAGTAGCCACTTGTCATAGATGAGTTTTAAAATTATTCAAAAAGAATGTTTGGGATGTGTAAATCCTTATAATTATGCATGCTTACATGTTGACTTGCACGCAGCTGAAGAGCATAAGACTCCAGTGCTACCAGTTTAAAAACAACAACAACAAAGCAGAAAACAGCTAAGTATTTTCAGTTTCTGGGCCACAAATGTTAACTTGTTTGTCCTGAGGCTCTTTTTAAGTTTTCTAAATAATTAATCGCTTGTGTGGAAAGTTACGTTCACATGTTCAGTAATTCACTGCTCTCTATTTTCTTCCATTCCTTATTGGAAACATGCAAGGAATTTTACTAGTCACAACTAAATAGAAAACAAACCTTACTTCGTGACCAGTTGTGCCATTGCATTGGGCTGTGGACCCATCTCAACTCAGATACACATCTTCCTCATTTTAAATCCTTCCCAGAAATTTACAGGTGGTGAGTCAAGCGGACCTCACTTAAAACAGCACTCACTTGAGCTTTTTAAACTCATAGAGTCGGTCACAGAAGGAACAAATGACATTTAGAGAGAAGATCGGCACTGAGGAGATCTGGAGGTTGGGATAACTAACCAGCACGCCTAGGCAGCATGGCCTCAGCCTGTCCCCATCATTTTTCTCTCTCTGTCTCTGTCTTCTCTGTCTCTGTCTCTCTCTCTCTCATCGTCAGTGGAGTAGGAACCACACCAAGACAGGTGGTCTTGGGGTGAGAAACTTCCAGGAAGGGTGGGGGGATCTGTAGACACCATGTGGTGGGAATGAAACAAGACCCTGATGTATAAGAATTTTCCCATAGTTTGGGGCAGGCTTGGGACTTCCCATCCATGCCAATTTGGCTGAAAAACATTTTCAGGCTGTGGGAGCAACTTGGTGGTAGCGCACTTGCCTAGCGTGCATATGTCCCTGGGTTTTTGTTCCCAGTACTGCAAGGAAAACTATTTCAACACCATTTTTCTAGACATATTTTCCATACTTGTGTTTTTATTACGGGAGTCAAAAATAACATGGATTTCCTCATCATAAAGGGGTTTAAAATTTCCTTTTCCCGTAAGCCGCCTGAGGTGATTGGAAAAAGTGGTTTGCTATTCACTTGACCCAGAAAACCCCACAAAATCATGCAAATCAAGAGTCTTACACTTTTGGGTTCACTTTAACAATACTCATGAAACTGCCCAGGCCTTCAGGGTGTGGCTTGTGTCTAGATGTCCCCCTAGAGCCTCATGCAGTCATAGGCTGGGCTTTTTCAGAGACAGCTAGATCTAGAATGTGTGAGTCTGAGATTTCGGGTTTGTGATTACTGGATTAATCCACTGATTGGTTTGGCATTGCCCTAAGCCAGGTAGCATAGACAATATAAAGGGGCAGAAAGAAGCTGCTATTGTTGCTTATAGCTCGGGGCCTTCTGCCTCTGTCTTCTGGCCACCATGAACTGCTTCTCCTCTGCCATCCCACCCTGCCTTGGAGCCAGCCGACTATGGACGAAAACCTCTGCAAAGCGCGAGTTAAATAAAGCTTTGCTCCTTTAACTCTGGCTGTCAGGTATTCTGTCTCGGCAACAAGCGAGGTAACTAAGACAGCCACCAAGTATCTAAAAGACATTGCTCAAAGGATGCGATGCTGACCATTCCATTGTTGACAGTGGTAAAAGTGGTAGTGCAACCAGACCAAATGGTGAAGCTGGATGCGGGGTTGATGGCCCAGAGTTCTAAAGCTTTCTGCACATGCTTTCAAGTGCAGAGAGTTACACGGAACTTAGGGTTTAAATGTAGATGTAGCTATATGGTCACCAAACATGTCCAGGTGAACAACGCTCCCAAGATGTGCCACTGGATAAACTTCCGGAGCTCACGGTCAGACTCAGCCAGCCATGAGCTCCCTCTGCTGCTTTGCCAGAAGGGTTTGCACAGATACTACACTTGATCTTAGCCAAAAGGCCGAGAAGCGATAGGGTTTGCATAGAAAAAGAAGCTATCCCAGGAAAAACCGAGGAAATAAAAACTTACAGCGTGGAATAAATTCAGCAGAAAATAATAAATACAAATAAAAGTACAAAGGAAGTCTGTATTCTAACCTTCTCCTTCCTGGACACATTCTGCCCTGGAGCTCGTGGCCCCCGATGCCACAGTGCTAAGCTTCGGAGAGGACTGGTTGTGGCCACCCTGGCTGGGCCCCCTGACACGCAGCAGTGATCTGCAGGTTGCGCAGCCGCCCGGGCTGCAGCTCATCTGCACTTTCTGAACTTCAAAGCTTCCTCTAGCCTCAGGTTGGGGCGAAGGCCAGTGACAGGCGGGCACAGCAGTGAGGATGACCAGAGAAGCAGAGGGAGGCCAGAGCCAGGGCCTGGAAAGTGTGGGCCTGGAGAGAAGCGTGTATCCAAGACCCACACCACAGATGAGTTCCTTGTGGGAAGATCGGCAAAGTGGGGCTGTGCTGGTAACATCAACTAGTGCAACTGTATAGAAACAGTATGGCACGTCTTTGAGAAAACTAAACAAGCTGAGTGAGGTGATATAAGCCTGTAATCCCAGCACTCTGGGAGGCTGAGGCAGGCGGATTGCAAGTTTATGCCTAGCCTGGGCAATTTAGCAGGACCCTGCCTCAAAATTTTAAAAAATATATTTTTAAAGAGGGATAGGGATGTAGGTCAGTGCAAAGGCCCTAGGTCCAATTTCTAGTATTGAAACAAATCAAACAGAGAATTACCGTACAATCCAGCAACCCCACTTAGGTGTATATGCCCAGATGAAATAAAAACAGAGGCCCAAACAGATATTTATGTACTTACGTTCATGGCTCATCATTCTCAGCAGCTAAAAAGTGGGACCAACTCTAGCGTCTGTGGATGGATGAATGGATAAGCACAGGGTGGTCTGTTTGCACAAAGGACTCTTAGCCAACAGAAAAAGGAAGGACAAGAGTTATAATAGGAATGAAACTTGAACACACTCCTAAGTGAAATAAGACCAGTACCCTGTGTTTCACTTATGAAGTACCTGAAGAAGTCAAACTCATAGAAACCAAAAGTAGGATGATGGTTTTCAGGTACTAGGGGATGAGGAAATCGACAGTGTTTGATGGGCACTGAGTTTATGTTGGGAAGATGAAAATGCTCTGTGGATGAATGGTGGTGATGACCATACAATAATGTCAATGTGCTTAATGAGCACATTGAGCTGCACACCTTAAAACGCCAAGATTCCTGCTATGGATATTTCAACACACACAGCGGTGCTTGTGATGCTCTGCCTCACTGGAGTCAGGTTCTTGGGTCCAGGAAATGGTAGAAATGAGAGCAGACTGCAGAGACACAGGAAGGCTTTTCATTGGGACTTCTGCTCGAGACAGAAAAACAAAAACAAAAAACATAGCTCTGACCAAGAGTGGGTCGGAGGAGCACAAAGGAAAGGGATAACTAACACAGAAAAAGTACCCAGCCAGAAGTTCCCACCCAGGTCCTCCATCACCACTGGAGTCCCATTTCCAGAGAGTGCCTGAGCTCAGCTGCAGGTGGCTCCCTGGCGGAACACAGAGTAACGGGCTTTCAGGAGCTTGCCCCTGGCTTGCATCTGGATTAGTAGGATGTGTTTGTAGTGATTGTATTTTTAACTCCAGTGCTGCTTTCTGTGAGGCTGAGCCCTGGGCCCCTCTGTATGTCCTCTGATGGGAGAGCACGAAGCAGCCATGGTCCCTGCAGGGCTCCTTCCTGGCATTTGATCCTTTTATTCCCTTCTGGGTGGTTCTGGACCATCTCATGTGAAGTGCCAGGGGCCAGGGTGCACACGTGGCCTCTCTTGGCAGCAGCTGCTCCCCAGGTTCTGCTTGTATCGCGGGCTCATGGGTTCACATGTACTGTAGGGGCACATGCGTCCATGCTAAGCAGACATGTGCGGATTACGGTTCTGGGAATCTTGGAGTTGTTCTGGCCACTTCCATTTCAACAAGTCCTGAAAAAATAGCCTGGCAAGAAAGTTTTTATTTTTTAGGGAGTTACAGTTTTAGACATAGTGGATGCTCATTCATCCTTGATTAATTTTCTGATTGATTAAAAGATCATGGATATGTGTCAGTTTAGTAGACAGAAAGAGAAATAAAGTAGCTGTACATATTTTTCTGTCAAATTGTGAGTGGAACCAAGAACTACTAGTTTTTCTCTCAGATGTTAGTTTAATGTAACAAAAATGTGTTCCTTTTATTAGTTACTCCTATCTAGGTATTGCACGTACCATATTTTACAGCTGCTTTTTAGAAAGCTCAGAAGTTTGAATGTCTGACAATACTGAGGAGAAAGAAGCAATATTTTATTTTATGCTACTCTCTGCCTCGATATAGTATGAAAATACTCTTTCATCAAATTCAAGATGCCATAGGTTGTAAGATGTACCATTTTATGTATCCAAAACTAGGACTACTGCAAATAAAATAGTATTTCCTTATTTTTTTTAATTCTGTAATTATCAAGAAGTCCTTTTAGACTATGTGTTATTTAGTCCTGGAAATGTCAGTGGACCAGCACCCTGGCCATAACACATGGTCTTCACTGCCGTGGACAGAGTAAGGGAGTGGGAGGCCTCGAGAGGTAAGGTGGATCTTGATCCAGAGGTGTTTAAAAAGCAGATGAATGTGTCTTCAAATCAAAGAAGCATGTTCTGTGCATGTGTATCGGTGGGCACACATTCTATTCTGCAAGGGACATGTTGCTACTTTGCACCAAAAAGACTGTATTGTAAATTTAGAGCTACTGCAGTCTGCAGCTGGTGGGTCTACATATCTAGCTTGATCATGGCTTAAGCATAGTCCTGTTTGTTGTGACAGAAAAGTACCCCAAATACTTAGTAAACGTTTACTGTGACGTTGAAATTTTTCTTCTTTCCAATGTGGCCCAGGTAAACTCACCTGCAGAGCTTGGCAGCAAGACGAGGTCTTTAAGGAGTTTAAACCACCCATTGTGCTCCTTTATCTCCGGATTTGGTTGCTGGAAGTGAATCTTTACGTGAAAGTTGGCAAGCACACCCTTGCCGAGGCCTGCAGAGTGAGCCCCAGGGCCTTGCTCCCCTTCTAACGTGGGCTGGCTCCCAGTGTGCCTCTGGACAGCTGTGTGGCCAGTGTCACTGGCCTATGAGGGCTTCACAGTCTGTGGTTGTGTCATTGCAGTGGCCAATTAACCTGGAGAGACGTCCAGCACTTGCTTGTGAAGACTTCCCGGCCGGCCCACCTGAAGGCAAACGACTGGAAACTGAACGGGGCTGGGTATAAAGGTGCGCAGGTCCTGGTGGCCTCATCCTGATGGACCCCCGATGACCCACAGAAATGGTCCCTTTAAAGGACTCCCCATTAACAGTAGTTGTTAATATTAATTATGTGTCACAGGGATGAAAAGCACTTACGCAGCGATTTGTAAAACATATCTCGAAGCCTGCAGTGACCGGAAATTTGAACCATCAGGTCCTGAGAGTCCAGGGTCCCCCAAAACTGTGACTTTTGCCATACTCCGGGACCGCCTGTTCTTAAGTACTTAATAGTTCTCTTTAAATGGACTCTTTTTTTCCTATATAAAGAAGTATATTTTAAAGGGAAACTTTATTATGTCAAGCAAATCATGAGTTTAAATTTGTAGTTTTTTCATACACGTTAAAACAAATTCATCATTATTAAAATAATTTTTAAAATTTGCTTGTGTGCCATCTAAGGACAACTTGCATCCTCAGCTCTGAGGCGCTTGGTCATTTTAAAATTAGCTCTCAGTTTCCTCATGTAGATAATGAGGACACTGAGATAGAGCTATACGTTACTTTCTAACTATAAAACTTTTGGCCAGCCCTAAGTTATAAAAGTAACTCCTAGGACAGAGGTGCTTCTACCTCTAGCCCAGCATAGTACAGACCCAGATACCGTGAAATCACCCCACCGTTCTGGCTTGATTAACCCAGGTATTTGGGGCCTCTGGAGCAGGTAATTACAGAACTGCAGCCACTGGCTTTGTTTGTCTAACTTCTTAACAGTCACTTGAAAAAGTTTTTGATTGGCTATAGTATATTGAGGTGTAGGCACTTTCCCCCTGTTTTTGAAGCTCAGGTCCAGCTATTTTGACATCAAGCCCAATACTACTATCTGTCAAATGTAGGTCAAGCATTGTTACTGTAGGGCCAAGGGACATGACTTTCAATAAGGAGGCCATTGATTGGGCTCCACGCATCTTTGCTGGCAGGAATGCCAGTGGTAGTGCTGTGCTGTAACAAGAGCTGACCCACATTTCAATTCTGGCCTAATTAAATGGGAAAATAGATCGTATCTAGTTCTCGACCTTGCCTCCTAAATTAAACTTTGAAACTCTCCTCCCTTGGCCAAATTAAACACTGGATCAGGCCAGCCCATAAGTACTCTTGTCTCTGTGCTAGGCAATATCGCTTGCCCTGAATGCTCTGGGAACTCAGCAGGGAAAGTAAGTGATAAAAGAAAAAAATGAGCCCAGCTGGCCTGATTTTTGTTATGTTTGTTGCACATCCTGGTCATGTGACCCATGGGGTCTCAGGGGTTTATTTTTTCCAGTGCTGGGGTGCAGCCCAGGTCCCACACATGCCTTGTAAGTGCTCTACCACCAAGCTACCCTTTACCCCAGTGGTCTCAGATTTTGTTTTTCTTATCTGGTCTAAGATTAAGGGAGCACAGATGCTAACATTCCTTTTAGCTTAAGAAGCCTGTCTTTGTCCCTAAAAATGGACGTCCTAGGCCCTCTCAGCCCTCTTACTCTGTAGCAAAATGGCACTTGTATCCTGGCCCACTCCCCTAAGCCAAAGGAGTTTGGTTCAGAGAGTAATGTAGCTGGCACCCTTGTGCAGATCTGAGAGACCTCTCTGCCATGTAGGCTTTTCAGGAACCCCAGCGGGAGCACAGTTGGCCCAGTTGCTCCATCGGAACCCTGCAGTGACAGCCAGCCTTGCTCCCTGCTTGGGTGAGGTGGGAGAACTGGCTCTGAAGGCCCTGTCTTTTCAGTTAGCCATCTCTATGGATTTGGCTTGGTGGATGCAGAAGCTATTGTCCTGGAGGCAAAGAAGTGGACAGCAGTGCCCTCGCAGCACATGTGCGTAGCCACCTCGGACAAGAGGCCCAGGTAAGGCTCCAGCGCCTGTGACTCTCAGCATCGGGGCCTGACTGCCGCCAGGTGTGGCGGTGGTGGGAGGTGTTCACACGTGCATCCCTTCGCACACGGGCGGGAGCCCAAGTGTGCATGTGCATGGCAGGGCGGGTCTGTGTGTCTCCACATCTGCTCTTGCAGATGGCACAGCTAGGAAAAGACACTCTTCTGAGTTCACAACCAACCTGAGGCCTCGTCTCACGTTGTAGGAGATTGCACCATGACAGGAAGCCAGTGCTTCAGCCTGAATCCCTCAGCCTAGTCGTGAAAATTCTTATCCATAAGGTTTAGCATAACTGGCTGGACCAGGACTCTCTCTTGCCTGGCAAGGTGTAAAGGGGAGCAGCCCACAATGTCCTTCCTGTCTTTCCCCGCCCAGTAGAGGTGGGAGTCTTGGTCCCAGCCCAGCCTACCTGCCCTAGATCAGGCAATGCGAATCCATTCAGTTTAGACAAGAGTGGTAGCATCTGCCGGCTTCTCAGTGACAGGGTGGGGTTGTTATCCAGCGATCACAGCAGCTCTGCGTTGTTTTTATCTGGCCTTGTAAACCTTCTTAGGGTTTAAGTGCTGGGATTTTTTAAACAAGCCTCAAGTAGTGGGCTGCAGGGCCCTGACTTCATCTCCCTTCCGTGCATTGCCCCTTGGAAGAAGGTTTTCTAAAATAAGTTACATATGTTCATTCAGATGTTTATATACGCAAGAGTCCACTGTAAAGCAAACCAGATGGTGGGTAACATATCCTATTCAAAAATCAGATTGATTGTCCTCCTGAATTCTGCCATTGGAACTATACTTTCTAAGAAGGCGAACGGTGCTGCTCTGGGATAAAGAACAGAGTGCACCAGCCATAACTGTTTGTTACCTTAGGAAAATGTGTGTTTGAAAGAGATGATGAAGTGGTTAGAATGATTAAAAGTGAGACATTGCAGGGCTGGAGGTGTAGCTCAGAGGTAGAACACTTGGCAAGAATGTGTGCAAGACCCTGGGTTGTATCCCCAGCGCTACAAATACACACACACACACACACACACACACACTTACACACAAAGTTATACACAGCTTTTTGAACAAATACAGATCACTCTCTCTGAAATTGCCAACTCCCACAAACACATTCTCTTGTAGTAGGCTCTTTTGCCCCAGAATATTGAATTGTTTCTCATGGGTACCTTGCAAATGTAAGAATTCAGAAAGTACTTATTGGATATATAGTTATAGAAGGATCTTTCAAAAAAATTTGTATTTCCATCCTGTGGCTAATTTCGCAACCTGACCACTGGGTGATGGCTTGAAGACCCACTAGGTCAGCCAGCCAGGAAGGGGAAGTTTCAGTGGTGGCTTCTTAAAGACTTGTTCTCTCTAGGGAGCCTAAGACTGCCAGATTCAGAAGAAAGTAGGAGATTCTGTTAGATAAAGGAGGCCTTTTGCCTTCACTGGCTTTGTATGTCGGAAAATGCCTGCCACACAGATGGTCAGAGGCAGGGTGAAGCGGTGCTGGGCTCCACGTCCTGGTCCGGTTCCGGACCAACAGGCTTCCCTCTTTCCTCCTGCTGGTCTCCTGGTCAGGGCAGCTCCTGAATGAAGCATTCTTCTCCTGCCAGAAATCGTTTTAAGATGGTAGAGTGGTGCCTAGGTGGCGAATGGTTGTTTTTATTTTTATTTTATTTTGTTTTTAAGTGAAAGCACACCAAGTCTAGACAGCACAAGTTGAGGGACCCCACCATAACATACAGTATGACATTGTTCCTGTCCTTTGAGGAAAATAAGGGCTCTACAAATGCAAGTGAGAGCAAGAATCAGACTTCTGTTTCTAAAGGGAAATCATCTTTACCTGTAATGGATTCAGGCCCTTTCTGGGATTTGCAGCTAACCTACAGACTCCAACCACTTGCCTAACTCTACCACGTGATTGTTCTCTCTCCGGAGAGAGACTGCCGTCACCGTGGGGCAGGTCTGTGCTCCTTTCCAGTGGTGGGCCTCATTTCCTCCTGGGGAGCTTCAGCAGGCTCTGTGGCCTGCCTGCCTCAGGGCCACAGAGCCGTCCCCTCCCACTGCCGTGGCTGTGACCACTTTCCCTCACCGGAGTTCTCATCTGGAATCACCTGGCTTAGCAACGAGAATGCAGTGTCCCACGCAGCTGCTTTCCCTCCTTCGGCTGCCCCCTTCACACAGATGTCCCAGTCCAGCTGTCTGCATGCTTGGCCTCATTCCGGTTTCTTCCTCTTAGGATGGAAACCTAGAACTTTCTGTTGAAGCCTGACCTTAGCTGCTTCCCTTGGTGAAGAACTGAACAAGAGGGAGACGGAAGGGAGAGGAGAGGAGAAGGAAAGAGGGGGAGCTTTATATGCTTATCCCACGTGTATCTCTATGTGCCACAGGGACTGTACTTACCTGCCTTCCTCTTGTGTAGAGGGAAATGCCACTGTGATGTGACCGGAAGTCAGAGGACTGTGTTCACTAGCCATGAAGTCCAGTGAGCTTTTAAGAAGGCATTGTGGCCACACCTGCCATGTCCATGGTAATGTCATGGGAAGTCTGTAGTGAGAGGGGCTGGGGTGTCGGTGCAGCCACCCCTTCATCAGGCTGTGTCAGCGGTGATCCTCGGGTGGAAGCTGACAGTGCTTCTCTGAAATTTGAGGAAAGGCCACAGGGTGGGAAAGGACCGACCCAAAGGGAACCCCAAGCGATCCTTTGGTGTTTCTAATGGAGTGCAGCTCAGGGCTTTTTTAGCCTGTCTCTGTCTCATAAACAAGCAGCCCTTGTGGACTGGGGATGTAGCTCAGTGGTAGAGCACTTGCCTAGTGTGCACGAGACCCTGGGCTTAACACCCGGAAGAAAACCCCTCAGAGCATGGACAAAGTCAGGAAGCCCACCAGGAAAAGGGCCACGGGAAGAAGTGGCATGAGTGAGGGTAGCGGGGCCAGCGCCCGGCATCCCAAGGCACTGACGGATCCTGCAGTCTTGCCCAACAGCCTTTACGGCCTCTCGTCCCTTTGACCCCAGAGCAGACTGAGCCCCTGGAACCCACCCAGCCTGTGGCATGTCAGTCGCCTGTGTGAGAGCCCACACGGACACAGCGGCCACAGGCAGTGGTCACTGAACGCCAAACCTAAAGGCAAGGAGAAGGGAAAGTCACCGGAACTAAATAAACTGGACAAAAGTTACATTTTTCAAAACAGAATGACTCCAGAGTCCTCTGAGTCAGCAGTGGGTGAAGGTACAAGCTGTACCTGGGTCTCTGCTGTGATGCTAAACACGTGCAGAACATCAAAGACGTTCTTAACCTATTCCCGGACACAAATCATTGCAATCTATTGAGAACCTTTCTTCTGTTAAAGAATGGTAAATAGGATCATGACCAGTGACATCTGTCCATGCAAAATTATTTTTAAATCTGTGTGCATTAAATAAAGAAGGTTAAAGTTAATACTCTTATAGCTTTTCTTCAAATGAAAAGGAAAATCAAGCTTAATATAATTTCTTTGAAGAAAAAGAAGCCCAGCTATTTAATATCTTATTTGACCCTTTGGATTTTTCTATCCAGTACTTTCCTTTACATCTTTTAAAAAATCAAAAAACAGTTTATAACGCACGTGACTGCCGACTTGGTGCTGGACAGACAACAACAGCAACAAAATCTTTTAACCAATATAAAACAAGAGGAGGTTACCTACATATCTGAAGTTTTTGGTGGTATGGAAGGTTCCCATTCAGTTAGAGTTTGCTGTTTACTCTGATGTTTTATTAAAGATCCTCTCTCCCTCTCCCTCTCTCCCTCCCTCTCTCTCTCTCTCTCTCTCTCTCTCTCTCTCTCTCTCTCACACACACACACACACACACACACACACACACAGATAGTTCTATCCACACACCACTGTGTCGCATGAATATTAAGGACTATCTGTGCAGCAGATCATACATTGGTACATGTTCAAGAATTAGCTCTGGACCACTCATGTCCTCCTTACTTTCCTGGTATTTCATTATTTCTGGAATTTCATTAAACCAAACTGCACATGATGCTCATTTTCCAACACCCCTACCTATAAGGACGTGTGGGTGTGGATGAAAGATGATGGGCCATGATTGTAAGGCACTCACCATGCTCCGGGCCTTGTCCCAGGCACTTTACATATATTAACTCACCCAACAAGGGTACGCAGTTCAGGAACTATTATCCCCACTTCATGGGTGCAGAAACTGAGGCACAACTTGCTAGGGTCAGGGGTGCTGCTGAGCCAAGTTTCCACCCCAGGTGCCATCTCTGGCATCCAGCTTGCCTCTTTAGGTAGGAACTGGAGGAGTACTGACCCAAGGAGCGTTACCTGCATTCCCTGGAAGACCTCTTCCTTCCCTCCATGTCCCTGCTCGCTGGACACCCTGCCTCCTAGGTGTCAGCATGTGCAGCAGGTCCGTGAGGCCAACAGCCGCATCGTCCTGGTGGAGTGTGTGAATGGAACCCCAGCCAGGCGGGTCCCAGCTGTGGCCAGGTGCTCAGTCTGCCCTGACATTTGTTTAGGAAGCTAAAAGTCCCTCTTGCCTTTGGGCTCCTCTGTGTGCTGCAGCTTCCCCCACTCTCCCACCTTCCCAGCGATCTCTCTAGGCCTCTGGCCTCTGCATTCCAGGGTACCTATGGGAGCCCTTGCTTTGGATTCCTCCCTTCAGGCCGTTGCTACATAGGCCGTAGCTTGATGTCTTCCAAGCTTGTGGGATGCTGTGCAGGTCCTGTCCTATGGGCACCCATCCTGGGCCCATGGCATTTGTCCTGCCTTCTGATACCCCTAAAGGCTCTTATGGCCTTTAACAATTTGCCCATTTTCCTGCAATGCTTGATCTTCCTAGCTTAGTTTTTGAAGTAAACTTATTTTCTCCACATTGTAAAGACTACTTGCTTCTAACATTATTATTTGAATTGGAATAGTGATTGTTTCTTGTTACACAGAGTCACCCTGTGCCCTGAATTAGCAGAGCCTGAA